TTATTCTACTGCCCTATCTCCCCAGCCCCCCAAAATGATCTTTTTAAAATTTTATTTATTTTTTTCAAAATGATCTTTTTTTGGGGGGGGGGGAACCGGGGATTGAACTCAGGCCCTTGCACTTGCCAGGGAAGCGCTTATTCCACTGAGCCATCTCCCCAGCCCCTGATCTTTTTATCAGTTGTGGATTTTTTTTTCTTCATGGAAAGTATTTAAAATAATTTCCAGTGAAGTTTATATTCAGTAGCTTAACATTAAAGCCAAATATTTCTTTTTTTATATTTTTTGTAGGTTTATGCAGTCAAAAATGACCTGTTACAAATTTAGGAACACTTGTTCCCCAGGCCTGCCTAGCTTTTTTTTTTCTTTCTGTATTTTAGGTAAGGGTCTACAGGGTGTTCAGGGTCTTACTACTAAATTAAGTGATCTGCCTCTTTTACAGCCTCAACAGCAGAGATTACCAAAAAAAAAAAAAAAAAGAGAGAGAGACTTGTCTTTAGGGGCCAGAGAGATGGCTCAGTAGAATAAGCGCTTCCCTGGCAAGCGCAAGGGAAGAACTGGGATTGCAACTATGCCCAATCTTGCCCAGTCTCATTCAGTGTCTCAGCAAGCCCAGGGGGGGTAGGGCTTGCACCTGCAAGGCAGGCGACAGGGCTTGTGCCTGGCGGTAGGCAGGCCTGGGGATTGGCAGGCCTGGGGGTCGAACCCCTGGCCCCTGCACCTGCTTGCAGATGCTTTAATCCACTGAGCTATTTGGCCAGCCCTCTGCCTAGTTTTATTTTTTATTTCATTTTATTTTTATATTTATTTTTTATTTTACGGAAACGGGTTGAACTCAGGCCCTTGCACTTGCAAGGCAAACGCTTATTCTACTGAGCTATCTCCCCCCCCACTTAGTTTTATTAAAGATACTTTTCATAGACAAATTCAGGATTGGGTCATAGAAAACTCTTTCAGCTACAAAACTTACAGCAACTACTTGAGCACTGAGCTAAAGTTCAGACCTGAGTTAGAGTAAGTTAAGTGTGTAGCATTTGAAATTAGGTACAATTGTATTTATTTATCTGTGGTGGTATTGGAGATTGAACAGCTTTTGCAAAAGTGCTGGGGACTTTGAACTTGTCCTGCCTCAGCTTCACAGAGTGCTGGGATTACAGATGTGTGGCACCACACATCTACCTCTCCATACCCCCTTTAAAATTTTCTTTTTATTTTTTTAAAAAATTTTATTTATTTATTT